AAACATGAAATTTAGTGACATTAGGTTCAGATGTGATATTAATTTATTCATTCATTCAATATTTAAGTGGCTGACTGAGCAGTAATGCAAAATATAAACCTTGCCTTATATTAATCTAAATTAATCAATCAGAGGATTGTTTTACTTACTTTATATCTTTGGGGAAGAATGTTTTTTTAAGTAAGAGAAGTTTTTAATACCTGATTAATCTGGGATTCTAAACATATGTGTTTATATTACTTTCCACAAAACATTCCATTAAAAATGAATAATCATGATGTTGCTGGAGCATTAAATGTAGACTTTTTTTTTTTCAGAAATTCTGAGAAAATAGAAGAGCCATTGTATTTGGTAGATTAAAAAGCCAAGATAGAGAAAAACACAGCTTAAAAACATGCACTACAAATTACTTTGTAAGTAGAAAGTACAGTTTTTCCTATTTTGAAATCTTGGTGAGGTCTCTAGTTCAGTAAAACTTGTAACAATGGGTCACTTGACAACCTTTAGGAAAAATTAATTTAAAAACTCTAGTAGGTTCAGTTGGGATAACTACTTTAGAAAGGGTTTCAGTGAGAGTAAGAAAGATAGAAAAAAAAATCGGAGAAAATACAGATATGCAAATCCTATGCAAGGAGAATTTAAAGGAGAAAAAGAAAGACCTAAAAAAGAAAGTGAGGAATAGCTTTCAGAAGTGAGCATCCTGACAAAGCAAAACCCCAAAGTCAGCGCAAATAATATCAATACTAATCATAATTTCCCTGCCGCCAAAAGGATATCCTATCCTGAGATCAGGTGTCAGTGTATCCACCTAGCTGTACCTTGTATGCGTCGCTTATAACCAGAAAAGTGAAATCCTATATAGGAATCTACGTTTACTAACACTTAGAAGAGAAGTTCTAAATCCAACAAAATCAGGACTAAATTCAAGAGAGAACTGATCTAATTAAGGAAAAAATTTCAATACTTTTAGGTACATCCAAAATGACACTGTGGCAATTACAAATTTCAGATTTTTTAGAAATTAAATCCATGATCACTAATTTCAGAATATATATACAGCCTGAAAAATAGGACGTATAATAATTAGATTGTCGAAACATGTAGTAGAGGGCTTCTCACAGAAGATAAAGCAAATGCTGTAAGCATGGAATAAAAAAGAGACAACTTGCCTCAGAAAAGGTAGTTGAGGAAGTGCCAGTCTTTATATAATAGAAATTCTAGAAGGAAGCAATAAGAGGATGGAGGGGTGAAACTAATAAAATATAGTATAGTAAAAAAAAAAAAAACCTGAAGAAAGACTTGAGTAGATTGAAAGGGTCAAGAGAGTATTAAGCGGGAATGATAACAATGAGAAAACACTCTAAAACAGATGTCGGCGAAAATGTTAAAATTCCTAAGAAATTCTAGAAGGGCTCAACCAATTAACCAAGGTCAGATAATAACAAAATAATAGACAGTTTACAAAAAAAATTAGATTAGAATCAAACTTCCTTATCAATCATACAAGGTGTAGAGTAAACCTTGTTACATCTCTCATCCAGTATCTACTGAGCTCTAAACCCAAATTATGTTGTTTTATTTTATACACCACTAAACTTGCATTCAAGCATGAAAGCCAAATAAATAACATCCTAAGCATGTGAAAAATCAGAAAGATTGTGACCTACCAAATAATACAAAGAAATTATTGAGGATATAGGTCAGCAAAGCAAACACACAATCAAAGAGGATATAAGGTTCAAGGTCAGTCAAACTTGTAACAGTGGGTCACTTTAGGAATCTTTAGGAAAACTAAAGACTGATCAGTAAAACTACATTTCTAGTTGTATAACTCAATGTTGTTCAAATCCCATATCACACACATTATGAATTATTTTCAAATGTTATAAAGATTTGGTGCAAATAACCTAGTGATACAAATATGACCCAGTTTCTGCATTCCCCTCATTTTCTCCTCCTGGAAAAACATCATTATACTAGTTTCTCTAGCACCTTTTGGTTATTTGTGACTAAACATTTTAAACTCCTAACAGGTTCATTGCCATTTTAAGTTAATAATTTACAGATAAAAATTTTCTCCGTGACAAATAAATTATAATTTTAGTTCCAAATAGACCACTGCTTTCTGTGCACTAGCACTAATTTTCTTAATAGCTATAGTAATTGGTTGCATTTTTTAAATCTAAGAGCAGGAAATTGTTATCTTTCTCCTTGTTACTCCAATGTTCCTTTGTAAGGTTCACTTCAATCAAGAAAAATAACCACTTGCCATAGGAGATATAAAATATTTGTGCAGAGCAAATACAAAATATGTGCACATGTCATTTTTAATTTCATTTTAAAAATGGGAAGTTAAAAAGCACAATATACATGATGAACTGAAAAACACTTTGATATATTAGATGCCCACGTGCATATCAGTCACAAAGGAGTCATTGTTGTTTCTGCACCACACTTTCAAAAATGAGTATCTCTGGTTAATTGCATAAAAATTGTAACTGTGTTGTCTTCAAAGTTTGCATTTTCATTTGTGTTTATTACTTTTTCACTAGGATTGAATTGTAAGTTTTATATTTGAATTTTATTGAAATGAAACTAACAAGTCTGTTATTTTAAAAGACTTTGAAAGATCCGCACTATTGATGCTGACTGTATTTTCTTTCTCTATGATAACATTTCTTAGGCTATTTAAATTATTATGTTAAAATTCAGGTTGCTAAATTGTTCCTGCTAAATAGGCTATGGTTTTTAAAGATTTTTTGTTATGCTTCCCTGAAGGTTTTGCATGATTTATTTTTGCTTTGTGTGGCTGCCCATAAAAAGTGTAACAAAACAAGATGTAGCAATCTATTCAAATTCATCATCAGCTTGCAGTGAAATGTGCCTTAGTATTTAATACATGTAAAATGGAAAGATGCATCACTTATATTTTCATTTACACTCTCGTCTTTATATTTTAAACAGGTGTTTTTAATGCTGTGTATTTTGATACAAAGTGGTTTATTTTCACTTAGTGACTTATACACTTTAATAAAATGAAGAAATAGAAACAGAAATAATATATTCTAGACAACATGAATCTATACCCATAAATAGTCATATTTCTTCTTTATTCCTAACATAGGTCCCAAATATTTCTAAGATGTCCATTCTTTGTGTTTAAGATAACCTGGAGTGTATCCATTTCATGTACCATCTTGCCCAAAGCAATAAATAGCAACTGAAACATTCTACTGTATTTTCCAACTTCTTCTGCTATAACTGTCGAATAAACATGCATCTGAATCCCTTCAAGTTAAATCAAATGTTACTTTCTGACCTGAATCATCATCTTTTCAGCCTTTCACATTTCCTCACTGCCCACCACTCATTAAGCTAATACTGTAAATGGACAAAAGAGAGTCTTTAAAAAAAATTTTGGTGGGACAACTGTATATCTACATGAAATAAGTAAATAAAATGTATAATATATAATACATATATGAAATAAACTACATCATTGTCTCACACTACACAAAAATCATTAACTCAAATCAGAGACCTCAATATGAGCTAAAATTATAAAACTTTTAGTAAAAAATAAGAGAAAATATTTATGAGTTCTGATTAGGCAAAAAGTTGTTGGATATGACACCAAAAGCATGATATTTAAAAGAAAAAAATACAAATGTGGCTTAATGAAATAAAAACATTTACAACTTGGACTTAAATCAATATTTCCTATCAAAAACTCATTAAGTGAGAAAATGAAAAGACAAGGCAAAAACAGGAAAAAATATTTTGCGAGTCACATATACTAAAATGGAATTGTATTCAGAATATTCCAAAGAAAACGCTGTTTAAAATAAAATATTACAATTTCGGAAGTCTACATATTTGAATAGAAATTTTGTTAGGAAAGATAATAGAGGTGAATAAATAGAAGATACTCAAAATCATTTGTTTAATTGAAATGTAAATTGAAACCACAAGGAGACACTATTTCACACCCACTAAAATATCAATGATGAGACAGGCAATATCAAATGTTGGTAAGAATGGGGAGAAACAGGATATCTCACGAATTGCGGGTGTGAATGTGAAATGGCACAGCCGCTTTGCACAACGCTTTGGCACTTTCTTAAAAAGGCACGCATAAATTCACCATATACCTTAGCAATTCCATTGCTAAGAATCTGTCCCAGTGATACAAAAATGTGTTCCACCCAAATAATCGTGTGTGAATTCATTGTTTATGAAAGACAGTTGCTAAGAGAGTAGATCTTAAAAGTTCTTATCACACAAAAAAAATGTGTGGTAATGAATGTTAACGAAGCTTGTAGTGATTACCTCGATGTACATAGAATCATTATGTTGTACACCTGAAACTAATGTGTTGTATGTTAATTATACCTCGTTAAAAAAGGTTCAAAAGTGGAAACACCCCAAATGTTTACCAACTAATGAATGAATAAACAAAAAATAATACACATTGCAAATTCTTCTTTGGCAATAAAAAAGTAACAAAGTATTGATGCATGATACAACATGACAAATCCCCAAAAACTTTATGCTATGAAAAAGAAGCCAATTACAAGACCCAAAATATCATGCCATTCCGTTTAAATGAAATGTCCAGAAAAAGCAAATCTGTGTGGACAGATTAATGGCTGCCTAGGACTGGAGTTAAGAACACAGAGGGACCGTAGAAGAGCTCCTCTCTGGGTAACAGGAAGGTGCTGAAACTGGATAGTGCTGTTGGTCAACTAGTTCTACACATTTGCAAAAGTTACTAAATCATAGATTTGCAGTGGATCAATTCTATGATATGTAAATTATACCATGATAAATCTGTGTTAAAAAAAGATTCCATGAACTCTAAAGACCTGTTCTGTGAATTTAGCTGCATACCTATTTCACACTTTCTTTGTTTCTGTGTGTAATCTTTTAAGGTCCATCCTGTGAGAAATCAATGGAACATTGTGTTTCTGAGTCTTGTTGGAAAGAAGGTATTTGGCAAAATAAAAGCTCTGCTTACATCTGTGAATACCCAGAAGGAGTTTTCAATCAAAGCTGTGAAACTAAAGTCAATAAGTGTTCATCAATGCCATGTCAGAATTATACTGACTGCAATGATATTCCAAATGTAAGTCTGAATCTAACATGCAAGGGAGTGGTTTTAAAATATTGTTTTACCATTACCAAACTATTTGAAAAGTACAAATAATTAAAGTTCTCATTAACATAATTTTCAAACACAGTATCAGAAAAGCTACCTTGTTTGTTTATTTTCACTTTTTCCCATTTTAAAAAGCAATCCCAATTTAAAAAATAATCTTCAATTTCATGTTTTGCTCTTCCAGAATTCTCTCTTGTGAACAATGTAAGTTTGTAAACTTTTGTTTTTAGTTATTGCTTATTGTTTTATTATTTATTGAATGTTATTACATTTTATTTTTTTAATTTAACGTTTACATAAATAACACAAAGACATAATTGAATAGTTCCCACAAATCATTATCTTTTATTTTCATAGGATTCATATTTGAATTCATAATATAAATTCATATTCATATCTTAAAGGCTCCCTTACATGTCTGGTAGTTGGTGTGCCCTCAGCTGAATCTGTTAGGCAGAACCCTAAATATAACTTTTCCCCATGGCTTAGGGCTTCCCCACAGCATGGGTGCTGGATTCTAAGAGCAAACATCCCAAGATAATTAGAAAGACACCATATGGCCTTTAAAACCGAGCCTTGAAAGTCACAGAGCATCTCTCCACTCCGCAGCTATGCTTGCTCGCATTCGAGGGAGGGAGGGGAAGAGACTGTTGTGACTCTTCACTAGGGGAGTGTTGAAGTCACATAGATGAAGAGTTGTGAAACGGGAGACACTGTTGTGATATTTTGGGGAAAAAAAATCTTCCACAATGTTGTACAGAGAACTTCTACATGCTTATAAAAATAACCCCCACCCCACCCCAGGTATGAATCCTTTCACTGTCTTTGAAATATAAAAAAAACTTCTCTAAAAAATACATTTAATTTTTTCTAGGGTCTCATGTGCTTCTGTTCACCAATATTTATGCGCAATCTTTGTAAGAGACTTCAAACACCACACAAGACATTTCCTTGCATGAGTAATGCCTCCTGTGTGAAATATGAGAAAGATCATCATTGCAGGTATAATTAATTTCCTATTTTTTAAACGAAAATATATGAATTTTAAAGCCATGTGGAAATAATGAAACACTGTTCTAAGTTTAAATTTCATTTAATGGCATGCATATGATGTTGTATTTCAAGTTGATGTAGAAACTTTTAAATGTGTTTTTATGGGTTTAATTGTTGTGGTATTGGCTTCAAATAAACTTTTAAGAAATCCACAGGCATAATTTGGGCTTACAGTTATAAAAATGCATTTTGTTCTATAATGGAGATTTTTAGGCTACCTAAATAATATTTCAAGCTCTAGATAGAGATGAATATAAGTACCTACAGTATTGTTTCTACTATATGCATGTAATGTTAATATTATGTTTTCAGATTATAGAGTAATCACTTCTTCCTTCAATTCACTGATACTACTTTTTAGTAACTTTAGGCAAACTTTCAGGAAACAGTCCTTTGTTTAACTAAGAATTTGCTAAAAATTACCCATTTGTAAATGACAGAAGTAACCTAATTATCTGGGCCTATAATTTTAGTCCATTTTAAGAAGCTTTATAGTTACTTGCACACACCATTAAAAAGTAAAATTTGTACTCTACACTTGCTTGACTTTTATCTGACCGTTTAAAGTAAGTTCTGTTGGGCACCACTGAAGGGCAGTAAACAGCAGAAGCTTGAAAGCTGTGGTACAGGAAAGCCTTAAAAGACACTGAAAAGAAACTTAGAATATACATACATATCACAGATGTACAATGAATAGTATTTTCAAAAGAATCTAAATGCAAGATTTAAAAAATATGTTCAGCCTTTAAAATGTGACATTTTCAAAACATAATGAAATGTACAATGAATAGTATTTTCAAAAGAATCTAAATGCAAGATTTAAAAAATATGTTCAGCCTTTAAAATGTGACATTTTCAAAACATAATGAATAGAAACCTTTTCATTTTATCAAGATCTTGGAAGATGTAACCAATCCAATCAAATTTATGTATTCATTTGACATATTAATTTATTAATAAGTACAATTATTATCCTTTTAAAAATATGGACTTCTTACTTTATAACTTCTAGTTCCAAGTCTTATAGCACTAATATATTTGTGAATCTATTTAGAAAAGTGATCAACTTTTTAAAATATGGATGTTATTATATAAATATGGTTATATATATCATATACATTTTATTTTATTTTTATTAAGTATGATACTTTTGTTGGCACTTACTATTAGCATTATTCTGGTTGTCTAGGCTTTGTTTTAAATTTCATCATCAAGGGGAAAACTGGCATTACTGATTGTGGATTGTTATTGTTATTAATTTCACTGATTGTCTGTTATAACTAATAGATTTATTTTTAAATTATGGAGACTAATATGGAATGCTTTGTTAAGCATGTTTTAGATAGGATGGATGTTGTATAAAGTCAGGTTAGATTTTCGTAGAATGGGTGAAATAACATCAGGTAGGTAAGCTAACTGTAATAACTTTGAAGTAAACTTATTCATGAAATTAATAGGAGCCACTATATGTGTTCTGGTTGTTGAGATTGCCCACATTCTTTAAGAACTTGGCATACATTACCCTCATCTTGAATCTACTTAGTGAAAAACATTGTTCCCACATTTGGTTGGAGTCCTGATTAACAGAGGGTAAAATGTAAGGCGAGTGAGAGGAGAGTAAAAACAAATTTGCTTCAACAAGGCAGAAACAACACATTGTCTAGTTTGAATATCAAGATTTGAATGAGTGAACACTTGAGCCTCAGAAATCAGAAGTGTGATAAAAAATTTGAAATGCAAAAGCAGAATTTCTAATCCCTAGATTCCCAACTGCCAAGCTGACCAGTGAGAGTCAAAAGCATTTCTAACCCTAAGAGGAAGTAATAGACATATAATTAATATAAATCAATGAAGTATGAAGTTGAAATAATGACAAAAAAATAGTCCTGAAGTCTGCTTTTCTTAAGAGATTAAGGGAATGACTGGAAAGAAGAAAAATAAAAGACCTTTGACTTAAATATGGGTTAAGTGAACCATTCATTCGCACACTGCCATCTGGGAAAGCATGTGTTTCTAGATCAGTGATTCTTACAGTTTAGCTGCTTAGAATCTCCTGACGGGCTGTTTAAAACACAATCAGGTGTTCCCTGGAGTTTCTAATTCATTTACTCAGGGATGAAGGTTGCAAATGTGCGTTTCTAACAAGCTCTCCGGCGATGAGGATGCTATGGATCTGGAGACTGTGCTTTGAGAATCACTGATGAAGGTGAGCTCCGTTTACACAGCGTCAGTGCAGAGAACCCTCCCCTACCGTTCCCTTGCTGTGTCCACACGCCTCGCCGGAGCTTGTTACCCTTCTGTTCTGAATCTGAGAGAAGAATTATGGGGTTGGGAAGGAGTAAATGGAGACAGAAGAGTAAAACAGTGATAATGGTGACCAGCAGGTAGAAGGTTAAGGAGAAAGAGGTCAGGTACTTATTTCTCCCACTCCCTCATTGCCAATTCATAGGTTGGCATTAACTATGTTCACTGTATAGGTTCATAGTTCATATCAAAATGTTCTGCACTCTAGCATTCATCCTCTCCCTGGTTTCTATTAACTGCATTCTTAGTTACCCCATCAGCACAAAGGGAAACAATTCCCAGTTTCTACACCCAGAATGACTAATCATACATTCTTGGTTTCCCCTAACTATTCTTACTCATAACCTTTAGTCTTTTTGGTCAACTCTTCTAAATTACTCTGAGTGAACCATCCTTTTCCTGGCAGAACCTTGATTGATTTTTCTTTTGAGTGTTAAGAGAAACTCTTTAAGTGTTCTTTTCTAAATAGTTTCTTTTATTTCATGTAATTGCTGTATCTCACTAACTCCATTTTACTTTCAAATTGTTAGTGAAAGTATTGACACCCTCAACCAAAACACTGTCCAGTGATTTCAGAAAATCACGAAAGTTGCCTTCCAACTGTCTGATGACTCCAAGATATTAATTACTAGATTCCACTTGGGTCCCACCTGCTTCCATCAATGCTACTTCTGAAGCTTCACTTCTGTTACTTAGTCCTCTTAGAAATAGCATTATTATGCCAAGTGTCCATAGACACCTGAAGTGAAATGCAAGTTTATAGGAACAGGTAAAAATGAACTCCTTCCTAACACTGGGTTGCTTATGGTAATTAAATACCAAATAAATTCTTGTAGCTAGTGTGTTATTCTCTTTCTTAAGGAGGTAATTTGCCTTCAGTTCTTCTCTTATCTAACCATAGAAATCTAGATCTAGTCCATATGTTCAAGTAGAGAAACTGATACTATCAGGTTAGCCAATTATTAAGTTACTAGGACCCGGTAGGACCAGGCAGAAGCATCTGGTCAGCATCCTCAAGTGCACAGTGCAGGATGGACACAGGTGGAAGGAAAGCATCTAGAGGAGACTGGCCAGTACCCAACGCCATATACAGGAGATCAAGGGACTGAGTTGCAAGTCATACAACATTAGAGAGGTTTCTGCCAAGGCAATAAGGAGAGAAAAGTATCTTTGAACAGTGTGAAATGGGGACAAGAACTCAGAGACTGAATGGATTGGCTGTCTTCCTTTTGTGGGCTCCTGAGAAGCAGAATCCTTGATCTGTCCGCTCAGGAGCAGCAAGTGACCCTTAACACAGAAGGCTGAGCCCTGAGTTTCATGGCTCTCGAATATACAAGGACCCCCAAGCTAACAAGTGCAGGACCAGAAGAGTGGCCCAAAATCAAGAGTCAGCATTGGCTAGGCAATGAGGTCATTGACAGTGACCGTTGTGGTGTGCAAACACTTGCCCATTTCCACCACCGGGACGTGACCCAGAAATGGCAGAGCAGAAACCAGAGAATTCCTCCCACTTCTCACCATTATTCCTCTCTGTCTACATAAGGGAAAGAAGAGGGTTTTTTTTTTTTCACTTCTTTTTGTTGTTTGACCAGAGGAAATAAAATGTGGCAAGGTATATATGGAACTATTTCATCCTTTGATAATATAAATAACTATTTGGCAAGAAGTGTGCATTCCGGTGACACTGAACCTCCTGCTAGAGATTTTAAAGAAGAAAGAAACAGGCAAACCCTGCAATGACATCAAAAGAGAGTCTTACAGTGCATAGCTGTGCTATCGCAGACCGCCTTGCAGTCATAAGGAGATTCGCAAGGAGACAAAACCAAAATACAAGGAAGTGTAGGGCTTAAAAAAGAGAACATTAAAAAGAGACAGAACCATAATCCTTCTCTGCACGAAGCCAAGACCACCTCTGAAGTAGTTGATTATCTGTGCCAATAAATCCTCTGTCAGTTTAGTCTATATGAGCTGGGTTTATGTTATTTACAACTGAAAACATTCAAAAGTTTCAAATATTCTGAAAATCTTTATAAACACTGATATGATTTGATCACATATTTTAAATGGTTAACTTTTAGTCATATTCATGGTATTGTTGTTCACCCATTATTAAGCACCTATGAAAAGCAAACAATATTCCCACAGTATAGTTGACCACATCATAGACAATACCTTTGACTTACTATGAAACTCTATCCTGCTGTAAGGTATTCAAAAGAATGGCTGTTTTAATCATTCCTGTACGTCTAGAACCTCTTACCGTGTAACACATCGAATAGTTCCCAAATACTTTCTGTAATTCATTATTTAATTCGTTTATAATTAGTATTTTGGATGTTACTGAGTGAGAGGAAGGTCTTAACTCTGGATGTGAAATGAAATGTCTCATTCATCCATTCATTTAATGACTATTGAGTACCTGTTTCTCTAGAAACTTCCCTACTGTAATAGAAACTCTTTTACATCAGAAGAGAAAGAAAAACCCTGACAAAATGCCCTTCCTTCAAGAAACTTACATTCTAGTAGGTAGGTACTATGGTAAAGAATCACACTGACTCCCTTACGTAAACTGCACTACGGATATGTGATCCTATGGGAAGAAACCGGAAGAAGAGCTGGGTGGCTACTGTGACAATGTAGCCTAT